GCAAGTTCTCATCTAAATAACTACACAAAACCCAAAATTCAATCACCCAACAATATAAATCTTATATATTACAAAATATGGCACTTAGATTGAACACAACTTACTCAAAACCAGATCTGGATTAGTGGTAAGACAGAACTCCGAAAATAATTAGAATTTTTTAATTTAAGATTTTCGTCAGTGCAAATCTTTGTATTTGTGGTGCGAGATTGCCTGGAAAAGATAATAATGTCGATTTGGAAGATCAGAAGAGTTTAGTTTATCGATAGAAATGGATCTATCGTCAAACTTTTTGTTTTCATGAAAATGTTTGTAAGGTTGAATAGTAAAATATTTTTATTTTTTTAATTAAATAAAAGAAGAAGAGAATTAATAAAAAAATAATAATTTTTTTTTATGTTAAGAAAGTATGCCAATTCTTAGAAGAGTTCTTTCTTATTATATGAATTTAAAAAAGTGCATCGTATAAAACTCTTATAAATCAAATATATTAGTTTTTTTACAAAGGAATATAGTTAGATTATAGTGTTTGGAGAGGCAAATACCAAATGGTTAATAATTTTTCTTTTAAACCATGAAAAACGTATACATTAGCCCCAGATAGCCGTTAACTATTCAATTTAACACCAAACTCAAACTGTTTCCAAACCAATATTGCTAAATTTGGGGAGTACTTTCTTCGTTCGGTTTGTTAAGATCTTTGATATCATCTTGTAGAGCACGTTACAACTGTAGATCGGTCTGTAGTCTTTAATTCTTTTTGCTGCTGTTGTCTTGGGGATTAAGGCGAGTATTGTGGAGTTGATACCCTTGGGGAGAAAACCTCTATCAAAGAATTATTTTATAGCGATGACAAACTCTTTCCCTACAGTAGACCAAGCCTCTTTGAAGAATTCTACCGTGAAAGCATCGGGACCAGGAGATTTATTGTTTGGCATTGCAAATAAAGTATCCTTTATCTCATCGTCAGAAGGTAGACGAGCTAGCAGGTCTCTATCCACATCGCTACATTAAAAAAACCAACAGATCCTTCAGACTATTCACTGTAATCCCCTGATAATCATCAAGCTTGCGAGACAGGAAATCATGGAAGAAACCCTCTGCCTCTGTCTTTAGATCCTCTTGTTCTGTTACAATGGAGCCATCCTCCCGTTCTAGTTCTTTGATTGCATTCGTGGCTGCTCTGGCTTTTACCGCTTGATGGAATGAACGGTTGTTACCGTCACCAACTCGTAACCAATGGAGCTTCGATTTCTGTTTCAGGTATCGCTCTTCCAGCTCTGCCAGATGATGCCATTTGTAGTAAGCTCTGTGCTCCTCCTAAATAGCCTGCAGAGATGGTTGAGACATTGTTTTCTCTTGGCATTCACAAAGTATGTGATGGGCCTCTTTTGTGTGCTTTGTCAGATCTCCTAAGAGATTTTTACTCAACCGGCGAATGCTTGGCTTAAGCTCCTTTAGTTTCTTAGAGAAACGATGCAGCGTAGAGGTAGAGTTAAACAAAGGTTCTGTTTCCCGCCAGGCTGATTCCACTAGTGGAAGGAAGCCAGCTGGGGTTGCCAAAGCGTTGGTGAATTTGAAAGGTTTTTTTCGCCGTACATGAGTATCCGTGAGGATCCTAATTCGGCATCAGAGGTGATACGAACATCCACCCGGTTCAAAAACACTATACTATTGGGTATACTTATTCGTCCACGCATCATTGATCAAAACTTGATCCAATTTCTTGCAGATCAACTCTCCATTCTCCTCTCTTTTATTACACCAGGTGAATAATGGCCCATGAAACTTCATGTCTAGGAGAGAGCAGTATCGTGTGAGATCCTGGAAGTCTCTCATACCAGCTGGGATAGTTGGCAAAATGGGGAAGTTTGAATGCTCTTCACCATCAAGTATTTCATTAAAATCTCCAAAAATCATCCAAGGCTTATTTCAAAACAAAGGTGAATCTTGGTGGTTTCTCAGATCCTCCCAGCGTTCTTTTCTTTCTTCCATCGAGTTGGAAGCATAGACGAATGAGCAAAAGAATTCATCAGCTTCACCCTCGAGCAGGATAGAGCAAGTAATTAGTTGTGCACTGGTAAAACAAGAAGTGACTCGCACTTGGGGGCTCCATACAACCCACAGCCTACCTCTCCTGTTGAAATCGTAGTTTGAAATATAGGACCAGTCTCTACAAACAGATGAAACTATTTGTGCCATCTTTCTTTCTTTGACTCTCGTCTCAATGAAACAACCGAATTGAAAACCGCTTCGCTTAATCCAATCTCGAGCTATATAATGCTTTGTTGATTAATTAAATCCACAAACATTCCAAAAGAACCCCAATATTAATTGAATTTGCGAGTAGGTATCCCTTTTTTAGAACACTATGATTCTCCTTTGAGTTGCGCGGCAAAGGTAGTCTTGTAGGCACCATCTTATTCCCCTGTTTTTTTTATTGAAAACGAGAAGGCTGATCCTCTGTTTCCCCTGTTTCGACCACCTTGTTGTGTTCTTCCGCTTGGGTTTCAACTACATGTTCCTCATTACTATTCACCTCCTCATGATCGTCATCTTGTGTCTCCGTCAGAGGCTCCTCTGTGTTTTACTCCAAGTCCGTCCCCTCTGCATTTAAAGCTTCAAAGCGGGAAGGGGTTAAGATAGATACTTCACCGTAGGTCAGGTTCGTTTTGATTGGGCTACGACTCGGTTTTGATGGTGTAGACCATTCACCCTCCTCAGTTTCCTCCACTGGTGTTGACTTTATTTGAGTATCCTGAGTCTCAGCGGCAGCTACATCTTGTCTGACTGACTGTGTCTTAGTCGCTGGTGTATGCACGACAGCCGGTGAGGGATTCAGTGCCTCCTTCTGACCTGTTTTAACAAGACAAACTGTCTCAAGATGTCCCCACTTATCATAGGTAGTACACTTCGGTGGTAGCCATGGGTATGTGAAGTCAACTGGAGTTTCTTTGCCTTGGTAGTTGAAGTTTATTGACTTTGGCAGATCCTTTGAGAGATCAGCCTTGACAAAAACTTTCGCCACTTTGAAATCTAAGCATTGAGCAGTGTCAGGATGCAGTCTTGCTGGTACCCCCACCACACCCGTGGTGAAACTGAGCCCTTTCCAAGAGAACATATTCATCGGGACGTTTTTAAGGTGAACCCACAACGGTACAGACTTAACTTCCGGTGATTTCTCTTTCCGTGAAAGGAGACCACTTCGACATTACAACTGGTATTTCAGCTAAATTCCACATTCCTCTTCTTAGGATTCTGCCTCTCGTGTGTGGGTTTTTGAACTTCATTGTTGTTGAGTTGACCACAAAGACATCGATCATCTGAATTTTCTCCTTGTGCCCATATTTTATTGATTATTTGGTGAATTTATGCAACATGTGGGCTTGTTGCAAGAAACTTGCTTATCAAAAAATCCTCCCATAGCGGAGAGGAGTCCTGGAAATTTTCATCGGGGACCTTTACAGATCCCTTCCCTTTTTCAATCACAACTTCTAGATCGTACTTCGTTAATCCCTTCTTTGACTGAACCACGTTTGCCCATGAGGTTCCTGAGTTCACCCCATTCTGAACTGTTGCCTGAGTTGTAGCTATTGGAGTATGAGCCTCCTTATCCTCTGCGACCACCGGCGTGGCCATCTCCTCCGGTGAGGGGAGCTAAGCCAGCGACGGCGGCGTTTCGTGATGAAGAAGGAAGTGAAGCCCTAATCGCCTTTCCAATCTGCCTCAGAGCAAAACGATGCGTTTTTTCCAATCCAAATGCACTCTTCCGTATCCTTTGTTCTTACTATGCACCGAACTAGAGGCATAGAGTGGAGTTATTGAATGCTATCGAGACTGAGATAGAGAAGTTGCGATCAAGAGAGATAACTCAACAAGAAGACATAGTCTTATAGAAGCATGAGAAGAAATTTATACCGAAATTCAGCTCAAAGGATACATTGATGCTCATCCGAGAAGCACAGCCAATCTGCGACTGGTATAAAGTTGTATGGTTCCAACATCATACACCCAAATACTCGTTCGTAACTTGGCTGGCTACTCGCAATCGGCTTGCTACGGGGGATCGAATGTCAACATGGAATGCTGGGGCCACAACCTCCTGCACCCTCTGCACTGACCCATACGAAACTTGTAACCATATCTTTTTCACGTGCAGCTACTCAGCTGCAATCTGGGGGAAGTTAACACAGAAGATGTTAGGTGCTGCCTACACTACTGAATGGGAAGGGATTATGGCGATCCTCTTGGACGAAAGACACGGCTGTGTAAATCTGTTTCTGCTGCGCTATGCATTTCAAGCAGCCATCTACTTTATCTGGTGGGAACGGAATAGAAAAAAGCATAGTGAACATCATATATCTGCATCTCAAGTGGCCTGTGCAATAGACAAACAAATACGAAACTGGCTAACAACAATTCGGAGCATAGGAGATCGAAAGACGAAACAGGCATGGAAACATGGTTTTCATTCCAATAGCCTAAATTTTCAGATTGTAAATGGTTTTAGTTCTCTTTACAATAGATTCAGACTAAAGTTACATTTGTAAAACTGGCTTTGATTGGATTAATTTAACATTTCCATTCAAAAAAAAAAATATTGCTAAATCTAACTAAAAAAACAGATCATATCAATTAGGATTCCATCCGGACTAAGCAGTAATGGGAGCTTGTCAGCCTAGTCAAATGATATAATTCAAAAGGAGTTAGTTCACCAAATAAAACTGCAAATATCAAAACCGCAAGAAAGTGAAATTTAAAGGTCCGCTCTGAAACAATTAAAACAAATTACAAAACCTGTGTTTAGTTCTCCAACTCTATGTTGTTCATAAACAAGAAATCAATGAACCCTGGACGACCCAAATCTAAGTCAAGAATGCAAATATCATCTCACATCACCAATACAAGTAAAAGAAAGGGAAAAAATTTATTTCTCTGATATTTATAGAACCAACTAATTTCTAAAGCTTCATCTAGAAAAACAGAGTACAAACCATCTACGAGGCTTTCACATCCAATCTGCCTGGGACAAAGCTGACACGAGTACACTGTTTTAACCGAGCAAGGGCATCTTGTGATCTACCCAACATGAGATCGATGTAGACCGCTGTAACCGTAGCTTGTACATTGTTCGGTAAGACAGTTAATGCGTGTGTTATCAAAGGTTTGGCCTGGTCATGATGTCCTTGTGTTGCAAGCAGCGCGGCAAGGTTTGCGAAAAGCGCTCCACGAGCTTCTTCTGGCTTAAGGAAATCTCGGGGATTGCCTGTGGAAGGATCTGAAGTCTCTTCACAATCAAAACTCGCGTGCATCCGCCACTGGTCAAAGTCTTCTTGCGCAAATGGCAATTTGAAATCATCCTGTCCAAGTAGATAAGCAGATAAATGCGAGCCAGCTTCAACGGGTCTGTTGAGCAAGCAGAGAGCCTCCGCTGCATAGATATGGCCTAAGAAAAGATAGATCTTTGAACAATCTGGAAGCTGAAAGAGTGAATTAGCAGCTGACAAGGCTTTGATAGGATTCTCCAATTCCAACTCTACGTATGCCATATTGGCAAGAAGAGCCTGTTGGATCAACTGATTTTCTCTGCTACGGATATCTTTGAAAGCGGAGAGGGAGTTTTGGATTATGTCCTGGTTCATTCCACCTTTTGCCTCTTTCAAGTCAGAGTTCGTATTAGCTTCCCCATGATCAGATGTTTCTTTGGTCTCATTTATCTTCAAGGACAATGTCGATTCGAGATCTGATTTAGAGTCATTCAAGAGAGACTCTTTGAGCAGATACATACCATTCGAGATACAGACCCGTGCTAGTGGTAACGAAAGCTTTGGCCATTGGGAACTGCCAGCAAGTTCCACGAATCCATTCTCTTCCATCATAAGTTGTCTCCACTTCCCTTTCCCAATTACATGGAGTCTGATTTCTGATCTATCCAAAGAAGTGTTTCCCTCTTCCAAGAGGCCCTTTTGCAAAGCCATTATACAGCACTCGGCTATACGGAGCCAAATGAGGGGTTGTCTGCAGAAAACTAGGCTTGCTTTCTGGAAGCACTGAGCAGCAAGTAGAGGCTTCCCACAAGCCAAATAAAGTAAACCGCAGTTGTATGTGATCAGCAGAGACTGATCCTGTGAGAGAGAAAACAACTTCACCGGATTCTCCTTTCTAAGTGATGAACAGCTCCTCAGAGCTTTTGAAAACAACACAGAGGCAGTTTGATATTTTCCAAGCTGATAGTATATGCAACCAAGGTTGTTGTTGAAGATTCCTGAAGTCCTTGCTTCTTTTTGAATACCGGAGACCAACAAAAGCTTTATAGCCTTTCGATGATTCCCATGAGCATACTCAAGCTGAGATTTCAAGAGGAGAGCCATAGAGGAGTCCCTTTTTTGAGCAATGTTCATCGCATGTTTAACTTCACGCTTTGCCAGTTTCAAGTTTCTGGTAAGAAGCAAGAACCGGACCTTGTAAAGCTGCAACTCAAGCTTCAGATCAACAGTCAAAACTGACCTTTCTCCTAATGCCTTGAGAAGATTGTTTGCTGGAATATGGCCAACTAGCTTCATTCGTTTCTCAGCTTCAAATTCCGCTAGAACATTCTCATAGTCTTCCTCACACAAACTACTTTCAGCGGCTGTTAAATCAGACTTCAAAGTATCTGAGACCACGGCGCTGCTCAGGAGAGAGGATGTTTTTGATACTTGATTTGAAGAAAGTTGCATTGTGCTTCCAATTTCTTCATGACTTCCAGAACCACCACCAAAGGCTTTGTCCATATACTCAAACACAGCCTGTAAAAAATAAATTTGTAAGATACAGAAGGAATGTAACATCTACAGAGAGACTACATGCAATGAGAATATGTTCAATCTTATCAATGCAAAAAATGCATTCAATGATGCCACAGTATATCATTCAAATCAAAATCCAGTTCCTCGCATCGAACTAAAAGCCCAAACTTCCCCATCAGATTATAGCTACGTAGAATTTTCTGTCACCGATGAACTTTTATTCAAGTATACAAATTTGGACACCGACTGATTCCCCATTTCTCATGGCATTCCATAATAGGCAGGTTATAGATATAGCATATTATTTCTTGATGACAGGTAATACGCAATAAACGAGATTTAATTTCATGTATTCTTAATAAGGAAAAAACATCGACCTTCCATTAACAAGCAAGGAAGCCACTAAAGAAATTGATCTTACCAGAAGGCAAAAAAATTTCAGATGAAAAACAAGAAAAGGCGGAAAACAATGCTTACATTTTGGAATAATGTACAAAAAGAATGGGATAGAGTCTTCCAAACATGTATAAGATTGACAGACATCAGCACACGGAATAAAAACTTAAGAAAACAGCCCATGGATATTGGTTGAATTTTACACAAGCAAAAGAGATCAGCTGGACTATATTAAGACTCTGAGATCAGTACAAACAATACTTACCAAAAATTTCACAGCATCATGACAAGCCAGCGCAATATCCAGCAACAAGAAGCAGATTTGAAGTGCAATTGTCTGCATATACGTAGCAACCATTGGTACGTATAGGCAATAGGAGGGAATTAACAAAAACCGACAGAAAAAAAAAAAATAGAAACAGTACCTCGTCGAGCGGCTCGATATTTCGAAACAAAGGTACTAGAATGGATAAAGATTTTGTGTACTGATGCAGGTGAAACCAGGTAATCGCCTGCAGGGAGACCAATGAACATCAATACTTAACCTTGACAACTGCGAATGGCATAGCTGAGACTAAAAAAATCATGGGAATACGCACAATGTTGAAACTTGTTACGGTACTATCAAACTGATCCTTTGACACACAGACGTTAGTTCCAGGGTTTACGGCTTCCACTTGTTCTTTTACAGTACAAGCAAGTTCTTCACTCTGTTTCTGAAGAAAAAGAAGTAAAGAAGAAACCATTTCATAAAGATTAACACGAAGACTACTAATAGCATTTCTTTTTCCAGTATGTTTCTCCTATAATCCCTTGATACAGAGATAACAAAGATGAAGGTAAGAGATAATAAATTGGGACTCCATAAGTCAATACTAAAATCATCTACCCGATCCCATGGATGACAAAAATGAGGAAGAAGATTTTCAATGTAAATAGATAGTTCTTGTAAATGCTATGTGGACACGCTTAAATTTGGATGAGTAGATAGAACCCAAACGGAAGTTTTCACGCAATACCTTGACACTGTTCAGATCTTCCAGTAGTTTCATGGAATTGGAGCAAGCATCCCTGAAGTACTCTGCAATTGCAATATTGTGAAGAACCTGCTTGAACAATAAAAAAACAACTCAAATGACATTGTTTCTTGAAAAAAAAAAATCCAAATGATATTGTGCTTAATGATTGAAGTGAGATAAACACTCAAACTTAGAGAAGCGAAAGCATCTCATAGTTCTTTGAAAGAAGTCTTCTAATTCTACTGAAGGTGTTCGTTAACCCACGATCTAGTGCTAAGCAATCAGAGGTTGAGAAATGATGGTCGTTGCTCAGTATCTTTAACCAAGAAAAGGCTTTGCTTTGCTCTGTATATCTGATTGAAACAAAGCTAAAAAGCCTATTCTACTTCACAATACTTATGCAGAATATATCATCAGAAGATACCGACAAAACTAAATTTGAGAAATGAAAACTAAACGCTGAAACGTCAGATCTAAACTAGTAAGAATGACCATCAATTCAATCTTAAACTATTTTTCTCGTATCGATCTAAAAACGAGAATCCAAACTAGCAAGGATTCATTTCAACAATAACACCAATTTCACAGGCAAACCCAGACTATTTCAATCCGAAAAAACTGACCTTGGGATCGTTATGTTTCTTCTGCTTGAGCTGAATCAGAATGTCGATACACTCGTGGAACTTGCAAGATTGGAAGTAGGAGAGAGCGTCTTTAGCGAGTGCCGATGTGATAGAGAGAACGATGGCGTCCTCACAGATTGACCCATCTCTAGCGGCGTCGGACGATGCAACTGAAAACGAATCTCGAGTATCCATGGAAGGTTAAACCAATTGTGTCACCCAGATTCTGAAGTCCACGAAATTTCAAGGATTGAATAGAAATCGAAAACCCTAGAAAGTAATTGAAGAGAAGCGGAGCGAAGCACTTTGCTGAGAAAATCGACGCGCAGTAAAGTTAGCGAGAGAAGAGAGAGGAGAGAGAGGGAAAGTTATTGGGTCGAGTTGGGCCGTCACGAGGTTTCTCAGCGTATTTATCTTATTTCCTGGTATTATTATATATTTTATATATATTATACTCCTTTTATTTTAAAATAAATGTCATTTTAACACTTTTTACACAAATTAAGAAAATTATTAAAAGTTCTGTTTTACTTTTTGTTCACACATAAAATAACATTCTCTTTCTAATTAATTAATATAATAAATTTAAAACATGATTTTTATTTAAAATTTTACATTAAAAATATAAAACGACACTTTTTGTGAAACAAAAATAAAATTCTAAAACGACACTCTTTTTGAAACGGAAGAATTATATTTTATACAGCTTATTTTAGAAAGCACTTATAATTCTCTAGGCATTTTGGAAAAAAAGTTGACTTTAACCACATGAAAAGACTGAACCATTTTTATATAAACAATGTATGTTCGTTTGAGAAACGCTGCGACAACCATCAACAACACAAGATTTCAAAGAAATTGCTGGTTATTTATCGCAGGAGTGAGAGAGATCTGCTGCAAGAATGAGAGAGAAGATCTGCTGCTGATGTATTTTTCTTGCGTCAGCAGCACCGCCGGACCTCTATGACTTTTTTTAACATAGAGTTTTAAATTTTCAGTTAAGAATTAATGGAGAGGAAAATTATGAAAATTTATCAGCCGCGAACATCAAACACAGTGACACCTTAACGAACAGGTCTATTGGAAAATTTTAAAGCCGTCGTGTCAAATCATCTTTTTATCATCACCCAAATTTGCTAACTCCACTGAAAATCATCGGTGAAGAAGAGAAATGGATTCCTTAGCTGATCCAATCGAAAATCACAATTAAATTCCCAAACCATTTTATCGAGTCAATATTATTTAGTTTATGCATAATTTATTTTTTCTCAGTTTAAAGAATTTGTGTTTTTTGTTTGTTTAGGGTGGTCCAACACCATTGATGGCTCTGTTGTTGAATGGATTCATAAAGGTGTAATACACTTTGGAATGATTGTCTCCTACTATGGTTTTATAACCGATGGTAAGTGAGAGTATATGTTGCATCCGTATCCGAGAGAATTCGGAATGATCGAGCTGGACAGGGCATTGTCCGAGGAATGATCGAGCCAAGGACGGATTTTGGCTGGGAACTGGGAGGTTCGGACTATGGTCGGATGATGACTGGGAAGTAGCCAGACGGGTGGCTAGGATAGCCGAGCCGGATGGGTCATATCCGAGAGAAAATGGTCCAGTCCATGAGAAAATGGGATTTATCTGAGGGAAAAAAAGAAAACCTCCGAGAGAGAGTAAGGATTAGCTGAGGTGGGACAAGTGGTCCGAGAGAAAAGGAAATATCCGGGTGAAAAATGGAAATAGCTCGGATAAAGGCGGTTTATCCGAGAGGGAAAAGATTTGGGCCGTGGGCCAAGTGTTTGGTCAGCTATTTTGTTGGTTTATCGCGTGGATGGTCAGTCGGTACAGGGAATAGCCGAGAGAATCGAATTGGACTGGGATAAGTCCTACTAGAACTAGGAAAACGTCTGTTAAGTCCGAGTTACCTAGGGTTTTGCGAGTATATAAGGATTTTTGAGACTTAACTCGAGGGTGTTGTGTTTATTTGAGTTAAATAAAGCAAAGAAAGAGCTTAGTCGAGAGAAAACCCTAGAAAAGAGAGTTTATCCCGAGGATAGCCGAGAGAGATTGACGGATCGCTGTGCGGATCTGACCATCGCCGAGATAAACTGGTAAGCGATCGGATATTTCCCTTTGTGTCGAGTTTCCATCAGATAACCTCGAGCTAATAGCCTTGTTTTGTGGGGTTACCGAGGGTAAACAGAGTTTGGCTCGAAGAAAGGTGAACGGATCGAGAGATAGCCGAAGGGAAAGGGATCAGATCGTACGGACAGCCGAGAGATTCCTAGGGTGATCGGATATCTTCGATTTGGTGCGGATTTCATCGGGATTTCTTCTGACCAATCTGTTTCTAGCCTTGTCTAAGGTGAGTGCGTGATTGTGGTTGGTGTCTAGGATCGTTGGATTGTTAGGGTTGAATGTTTTGCATGTTTGATTGTGTGATTTTCATGCTGTGTGTTTAGAACTGTTAAGCGATTATGTGTTATGGTATTGTGAGGTGTTTACCGTGGCATAGATGATGTCTAGCTAACCTCAGGGTAATCCAGATCATGTACTAGCTTAGGGGATGTGGGATTCTCGCTGAAGTAGACATGGGTCTTAAAAAGGGATTGATTTTGGTTGGTTAGGTTAGATGATCATGGCGTTTGATATATATGTTATGTCTATTGCGAATTGATTGTGTGGGATGTTGAATCTGAAAGTATGAATGCGTGATTGGTACTGACCAGGTGTTACGGGATGACCGTACTCACTAAGTATTTATGAAATACTTATGCCTCTCTTCTTGAGTGTGCAGGTAGTAAGCAGTAAGGGAGCAAGACCAGGCGGCAGTGATGGATATGGATGGATCGGGGATTGGGTTTTAATTATGTTTAAGACGTTGTGCTTTGTCTTATGGCTTTGGTGATTGACCGTTTAGGTTGCTAGATGATCGTTTGTAATCGTTAGCGAACCATTGTGTTTTGTTTATGATAACACTGAATCTTGTTAAGTGATTTTTATGCAAGTTAATGAAATGAAATGAGTTGTTTTAAATCCGATGTGTATTGTTAAGTTTAAAGAAAAGTTAAAAATATGGCTAAGTATAGAAAACGGACTTAGAGAATGTAGTGGGACACAGCCGCGGTATAGTTTGCCGGGTTGGGTTACCACAATATCTGAGTGCTTTGTCATGTAAAAGCTTCCATTGATAAATTGCTTTTCTGGTGTGGTCAATTTTGATTATGTATTTCTTGTTTTTCCAGTGTGGTCAATGTGAATATGTGGAGTAAGAGATATAAATTTTGTTATGCTCTTCTTTTTTGACATTAAATTTTTTGTTGGAATATTAATTTTTACTTTCTTGAATCACTATCTTAATGCTGAGATTTCTTATTAAAAGATACTTGGTGATTTCTCAAAACCTCAGATTGTTGCAGCACCATATTGGACAAGATTGTTTGTTTGATTTTTGATGGACATGATTGCGTATACTGCATTTTGTAAAGTCTGTATGTAAGTTTTGATTTTTCATTCTTTGCATATTAGAACTATTACAGATCTGGAAAAGTTCTTTAAAATGGGATTTGAGAAGCGTAATTGGTAATCAGAGTTGAATTTGATGATAACAAAGGTCTGAAATAAGTCAATGAATATGCCGGAGGAATTAATAGATATCATGGACATATTTTCATGGATGTCATATTTTGTTCTTATTGTGGACAACCTGTCATGGACATGTTCTTTTATAGTGCAAAACATTGAAGCTTTCGAGATTGTTTTTGGGATATGTGTGCGTCTGTAGATAAGTCGTGGACAAGTTGTCATGGACATGTTCCAGATTTGTACTTTTGTAAAAGGAACTACTTAAGTTAGTTTTTTGAAGTTAATGTAAAACACATTGGTGTGACAATAATTAGATGATTCCTAATGACATGCTTGTTTTTGTGTAGTCATTCAAACTGGATACCCAACTTTATGAAGGTGTTAACCTTGAATTTAAAGGATTTTTCAAAGATGTAGAGTTTCTTTCAAGTGAAATAGAGGGTCTGTGTTAGAACTTTGTCAAGCCCAAATGTTACGTACAATGATATTACTGTACATAATTGGCATATTGACTCACAAACACATGCCCAAGTAGTTCACAACAACACAAATGAATGCTTAAAGACACCACATTAAATAGATTGATCACTACACACAATTGAAAAAACCAAATAATACAGAAAAGTAGTAGTAGCTAACGATGATGATGATGTAAGGTGAAATCCTAATTTCAGATGTAAAGAAAATGATTCTCAAAGGAAAACACAAGCTCTCTGCGAAAATTCCACACAAATATGTTCTGTTTCCTGAATGTTAGAAAAAGCTGGTTCTCATACGAAATATAGGCGTAGACGGTGTTTTGAACTTAGCTCTGCTAACTTCCGTTCGCTCATCATTTCAGACCTGCATTTACAAATGAAAGATAAACTTTTTATGAAAAACTTGTAGTCACAAAAGCGTATTCATAGAAATGTAACCATACAAACATGTTCATAACAATGTAAGATTATTATTAAATCACCGAAATCTGCTGAAATCCATTGTCATCATACACTTTGATCTCTGAACTCGATGCTTAAAAAAAACACATTTACGTTGATGGATAAATCTACTGAAATCCGTTAAAATCACCACAACAACCAATAAATTTGTTTTTCACTCAGATTTGTTGACGATGACCCTAGATGTTTTAATTCAAACCTTCCCTACACATTTCTACATCAAGGAATTAACTAAGTTCACAAAATTCTCAATCACACTAAATTATAATTATTCTATGGACATCACCTTGCCACTCTCCAGGGTTTTTCTCCCAATCAGATTTAAATTTCATGGCAGACTCTCTATTGTCAGTGTCTGCTGCAATTCTCGATGAACCCCGGCTGGGCAATCACTTTCGGTAGTATTGGCAGTAGAAGGCCGTCCGCAACTGTCCGAAAATTATCCACACGTCACTAAGGGTAATTATAAGTTTTCAAGTTCTAAAATTAAAGGAGAATTGAGGCAAAGTCCTCTAGTAGCTAAAATTACCTTTGAGTGCAATTATAACTCATAAGTGCTTTTTGAGTGTAAATCTTTATGTTTTTAGAGTTATTTACTTATCAAATGAGTCATTAGAAGACAGATTTTAAACAATTGTTAAAATTTAT